TCTATGCTGCTTGTAGGGATGCCTCAAGTGGTATAGTTGTAAATATTTCTTGTATATATTCTTTTTATTTTATTTTAATTATCATTTTTAGGCTTTTGCCAGCAGTACTTCATATTAGTACTGTAGAGAGAGAATTGCACAATAGAGAGAGTTTTGAGCAGGCTCTGAGCTGTGTGCCGATACAGAGGCCTGGGATAGAGAATTGAGAACCCTGAGCTGTGTGCCGATACAGGGAGATTTATATATTGGACTTTTTTTTATTTATTTTATCTTATATATTTATTGGACACATCACAAGCTGTATTTGAATTTACACACTTGCAATGTAATTTATCAATCTTGCATGAAAATTATATAATCCTTGGCTCCCTATAGAATATTTATGTACAGAAGTTCCTTACATTTTGTAATATTTATTTGTAAGGAATATAATCCTTTAATAATGTATGTAAAATTTTTTATGTACAGTAATAGTAATGTCAGTCAGGAAACATTTCATGCAATCAACATGTCTACTGTAATACAGTCTGGGATTTACCATATCAATATGTTGCTCTGCTGATCAATTCATATATGTTACAAATGAATTCACAAGGTGTTATTCGTCATATCTAAGTCACATTTTATTAAAAAAAAATTTTAAATTAATGAAACTATTGGAAGGCTAAAATTGAACCAACAGCAAATTGATAAATTCAGGGATTCAATTCCTCACAAAGCAAGAATAATGATTAATCCAGGAAAAAACTATGATGGATGGTAGAATATTGATAAATTGATTGAACAGGTAATATTTCAGTTTATTACAAGTTATCCAGATTATTGTGCAAGACATAAATTAGGAGCACAACCAGATTTTATGACTCAAATACCTTTGATACAGGAAGTCATTAAAAAACATGGACATAAAGTGATATTTTATCCTAAATATCACTGTGAACTTAATTACATAGAAATGTATTGAGGTGCCAAGCAGTATGCAAGAGAAAACTGTAACTACACCTGGGAAGGTTTGTTAAAAACAGTTCCTTTAGCTTTAGATTCTGTTTCATTAAGTTCAATTCATAAATTTGCAAGGAAATCATTTCAATATATGGAATGTTATAGAAAAGGGTTGAATGTAAAACAAGCTGAATATATTAATATATGCTGTTGCGAGTGTAACAATCCTCGAAATAATATGTCACACAAATGGCAATTAATTTTATTACCATATTTGGTAATCAGAGGAATTCATTTTTTTATCGTTTAATTAAAGTTAATTGGCAATCGGGATTTTTTGTTAAAGAATTATACATATATTATTATTGTTATTGTTATTATTTTTATTAAGGAATATGGATATTATATTGTTATGTTATAATCATATTATTATTTTATTTATATTATTTATAATCAAAGAAGTTATCTTTAAATTATGATCATACTTTCCAGGAAGTCTATAAGCTTCCATACAATATATAGATTATATATTTATTTATTTTCTTATGATTTATATTTATATTTTAAGAATTGTATTTTTATTATTTAAAGAAGTAAAATTCAAACAAATAAAGATAACTTTTATATAATTTTACAACAATAAAATTATCAGTTCATTAACATTGTTAAATAAATATCTGAATGTTTTTAAATAATTGTGATAATTATTTGAATGTTTACAGATAGACTGGCCTGGATACCAAGATCTTGATTGAATAAAATACAAACATATTAAAGAATTCTGAGAAGTAAACAATGATGACAGTGGCTGTAAACAAATAAAGCCACCTGAACAAAAAGGTATTGAAGGAATGGAATGATGTAATGTTTGTCAAAAATTAGTAATAAAAACAAACAATGACTCATCAAAGATAAAGAATTGTAACAAAAGCAAGATCAGAAGGAATAAATAGAGTGACAAGATGAGATAGAAACATGAAAAATCAATTAGTGAGAAATTTCTTATAAAAAGACAGAGAATTCAACCAAGTGGAGAATTAACTTTATATAGATCACATCACTGAAATGTTTAATTTGAAAATTTTATTAATTTATAGTTTTGTTAACTGATGAAAATTTTTTCTTGGATTACAACACATAGTAAATTGATATGAAATCAACACCTACAGGTCCTTGTGGATATACATGATATAAAAAAATAATGGTATTGAAATTCATGAAATAGGCTTCTGGAACACCTTGTGGCTATAAACTTGATAAATTGTCTCAGAAAAAAAGAGTTTTGTCCCTAAAAAATTGTGCAGAAATCACAAAGGTACTGGCAACTTCAAAAGATTCTGACAATTTTTAAAGTATATTTGAAAAAATTTACATCATACTGATAAAAAAGCACCAATTAATCATGTTGATTGTGCAAAGTAATTTCCAAATGTAATAATAAATTTTAATTTTTGTATTATAGTGTAATTCTAAGTTTCAATGACATAATAGATTGAAAATAACAAAATAAAACTAATCTTTTTTCTTTTTTTCATTAGTCATATTATTTTTATCTTTTGGATTTGTTCCAGCATAAAGTTGATTAAAAAAACCTTTTAATGCTGGTTCAGCTTCTTCTAACATTTATTAAATTCATCAGGTTCTAAAATGGGTTTATCATTATTCACCTTCTGTCTTATATACAATACACCTGCCATTAATTTGATTTTTTTATTAAGAGGCATCGTTTCTAAAATAAAGCAAATAAACTACTAGTTAAATATAATTATTGACAATAAAATAACAGCAATTTATTTGGTTAATTTATTAAAAAAAAAAAAAAAACAAATATTTTCATTTTGTTCAATAATAAATAACATTATTATTTTTGGTGTAAACAATTAGAAGAATAACTAACTACTTACCTAACTTTGCTTTCTCAAGTTCCGCACACACTTCATGATATGCAGACTCTAATTGTTGAAATTCTTCCTCAGAATAAAAAATATCATCACGTAAAGCATATGTTTTATTTTGAAATTTCTGAATTTTTTCATTTGATTTTTTTTGAGCTGGTGATTGATAATTAGGTGAATCTAAGTATTCTGGATCATTGTCAGTCTTATACAAACAGTGATGACACATCATTGCTGTCTCTAATAATTTAAAATAATTAATTAATTGTCCAGGTGCCTTCTGGAATAAAATTCTTTCTTTTTTTTGTGCTGTAGAAAGATAAATATCATGCTTATTTTGTTTTTAGCATTAACAATTAATTTATTATAATGCCTTCTACATAATGCTTTTCCAACCAAATTTAAATGTTTGTTAATATCTGGAATAGTAACTTTATCAGATACTATGGAAGCATTATTAATTTTATAATCACAGATAATGTCATCTTGGCCTTCTAAATCACAATATTGTACTTTTCTCCTCTTATCTTTATGTTCATTACTGGAGGGTGCTTCTTGAGACAAGTTTTGTATGACATCCATTTTCTATAAGGCGAGTTGCTTAAAATGTAGCTATATATTAAATTATATATTAAATTAAGTATATAAAATTTTCTATTGCAAAAAAGACTACCATAACTAGCTTCCAAATTACTTCACCTTTTACCGAATTACTTTGGCAGTCTATAAAACAGAAGGTGAGAAATCAGAATATATTGTTGTTATTGACGCAAAATTGATTTTGGTGACGCAAAGTCAAGTTAGTCGGATGACGGTCAGTTTGTATATGAAACATATGTAGTGTAATTAATACCGATCATTTCTTAAAATTGAATACTCTCTATGTTGATTTAATCACGCTACAACAGATTCACGTGATATTCGTTTACTATTATCATCATATTAATATGTCCTGTTTTTTTGGATCATTGATTTGTTTACTTTTAAGAAAAGCATTATGCATTATAATTGGATTTATTATTCAGTTACTTTTTTTAATTAATTGACAATTGAGTTGATTATTGTTACTAAAAATAAAGCATTGTGCATTTAATTAAATTGACGATTGAATTGATTATTTGTTTATTACTAAAAATACTTTGATCACATCTATAAATTAATTTTGTAAAGCTGAGTTGCAAGCTTCGTAAATCTTGACTTTAACACTTACTTTGATCAAACCTGGCCATATAATTATTGAATAATTGATAAAACGTTCATTTTGCAAACTCAATTTGCAAGTTTCATAGACCTTGACTTTAACACTTACTTCGATCGAACCCGTCTATATGAATAATTGATAAACATTCTTTTTGCAAACTTCATAAACACTTACTTCGATCAAACCTGCCTATATGATTATTTAATAATTGACAAAGCATTATTAAATATATTTTACAAAGAGCTTCATAGATCTCGACTTTAAAAAGTCCACCTATATGATTATTGAATAATTGATAAACATTCACTTTGCAAGCTTCGTAAATCTTGACTAGCATTTATTTCAATCAAACCCACCCATATAATTATTTAATAATTAATAAAGCATTCATTAAATATATTTTACAAACAGCTTCATAGATCTTGACTAACACTTATTTCGATCAAATCCACTTATATGATTATTTAATTAATAATTAATAAAGTGTTCATTAAATATATTTTACAAACAGCTTCGTAGATCTCAACTTTGACATTTACTTCGATCAAACCCGCCTGTATAATTATTGAATAATAAAACGTTCATTTTGGAAAACTTGATTTGCAAATAGATCTTGATTTTAGCACTTATTTCGATCGAACCCGCCTATATTTGAATAATTCATTAAATATATTTTGCAAACAACTTCACAGATCTTGCCTTTAACACTTATTTTAATCACTCTTATACAGAATATTGAATAATTTATAAAACGTTCATTTTCAAAACTTGATTTGCAAACTTCTTGATCTTGTATTTAACACTTGCTTTGATTGCGCCTATACAAACTATTGAATAATGGTAAGCTATGAATATTATGCAAGACCAATTTTATAAACTGCTAAAAATTCATATGAAACTGAATTATGAAAATTGAAAAGATGGTCAATATTATCACGATCCTTGCATTTTACATTGTCTTTTATATGCGTTTGGGTATCTATTTGCTATTATCTTAGCGATAAAACAAGAAAGGTATATTTGAATTTACAATTTTCTTTTATACTTAGATTATGAAGGCGCAGTTTTAGTTCTTCCAAATCTGCTCATGAAGGATGAATTTTTAATAAGAAGGGATGGAATTTCACCTGTAAATAATGTGATCTTGTATCTATATAAAACCAAGCTTTATTTTGTCCTACGTTTTTTATAGAATTTAAAATATTATCTCAACTAAAATTTTGTTTTTTTCACAAGTAATTCCCTTACTCTTAACATTGCATTTTTTGTGATTGATTCTAGATCAAATTCTGGATTACCGTGTTCAATAATTTCATCGGATGGAATTACAACAGAAGCCTCAATTTTCAAAACACAACAAAGTTCATCATTAAGAGAGATGTAAGTGTTGAATAATTGATCGGCAGGGAAAACAGGTAGAAATGATTGAAAGGAAGCAAGTAGACGATGAAATTGTTTTCTGCAGAACGATATATTTTTATCAAAGTCTAAAATAAATAGTCAAGGCTTCATTAATCAGATTTAATTGTAAAAAATACCACAAGTCTCATAAGTTCTTTTTAACACTACTCCCGAGACGCCCCTAATATTATTTGTATCGTTATAATGCTTTTGTAAGCAACTTCAAAAAACTTTTATAAAGACGAATATTTCTTCTCTTCGTTTTAATCAACGTCAATATCAGTGGAAGAGATCTTTTGCATGAGTTTATAATTTTCAACTTGTTTGTCAGACGTTTTCACTCCCGGAAGTTTCCAAAATCGATTGACAATGTGCAACAAATAAAATTCAAACACATGATTTATAATTATTTGACTCGAGTGAAAATCTTTTTTTGACAAGGTTTTTTCCATGCCCCTCTTATCTTTTCTTTCATATCATCCTAATCCATTTCTTCCATTTATAAACCCTTTAACAGTTGGTAGGGATCTGCAAAATACATTTGAATTAGTAATTCGTTTCATACATACTACGCTTGTTGAGAGGTTGTTTGGCTGCCAGAAAGAACCGGGACTTGGTTTGCATTAACTATTATGGTTGAAAAACTTGTTTAAATTAAAATTTGTGACAAGTGATGATCGAAGGCGGAAAAAAAAAACTAAAGATAAGAAAATGTCCAATACTTTTTTATTTATGGTGATCTCAAATGATTGGTGGAATAGTGGGCAACCATACAACAATGTTATATCCTTTAAATAATTCAACCATATATATTACAAAGCTAACTTGAATATATTATAAAAAAAAAAGATAATGAAAAATGCGTTAAAAAAACTAACGATATACAGTATCGATTAAATACTCTACTCGCGCCGATTAATATTTCATAAATATAAAATGTACTAAAAATTACAACAATCACAAACAGGTAAGATCAACTGTCGAGAAAAATTCTGGTTGCCGTTTCAGTGATTTTTTTGGAATATTAATAAAGAAATATTATTTCTAAATTGTCCCGTTTTGACGAATTGTAACCAACGCAGCGAAAATAATATTTCTTATTTTTGATTTTGTTTACATTCTTCCTGAAAAATGATACAATTCAGTAAAAAAAGCCTTTTTTTTGCATGTAATATATATATATTAATAAACAACATTATAAATCAGCAAATTGGAAATTAAACGGCAAATGTTCTATAAAAGGAAGGATTACAAAGAAAATTTCTTTTTTAAAAAAAGCGTCTGTGAAGATTTTCCCAAATAGTAATAGGTACGTGTAATAAATGAAGCACGTGAAGTCTTTTGAGTACGCATTATTAATATAGCGTCATTATTATGATTTCGTAAAACGTTTAACATAAATGTCATTATATAATTTTTTCAATTATGTGATCAATTAAACAAGATGGAAAACCTGGGAGATTTGGAAAATTTTTCTTGTAATATGTAAATTTTCTTTATTGTAATTAAATTAAGGGTGAAATCATTAAAAAAATTTCAAAGCCTGCTTTTAAAGTTGGAGGTTACACGTTTACTTTCTTGATTAGGAATTATATAATGAATTCAATTAAAAGAAAATCGCGTAGGTTGATTATTCTAGCGCGAGCAAAATTTAAATTACGATAAATAAGATAAGTATGAAGATTATTATTATATAAATTTATTTTCGAAATGTCAAGTATATGCAAGCACACGTATATCTATTATGCGAGCACATCATTAAAGTCTTTTTTTAAAATTAAAACATTTAATATTTTTTAATTAAAAGGAAAAAAAATTCTAATACATTAATAGAATAGCAAATATGGTAACGTAATGAAACTATTAATGGGAAAATTTTCATTGGCTATTGCTACCAAAAACCGAATAAATAATATGAAATAATATATGCATTATTATTATTATTATTTTATTCTGGCGTTAATTTTTATCTAAATCAAAAAAATAGATAAATATATAAAAAAAAAATTTTTTTTTGTAAAAAAATTTTTTAAAAAATTCACCTTTTAGTAAAAAACATTATTAATACTAATTTTCATCTTTGTAAATAATAATTCAATATACTTAGCATTTTATTCTCATATTATTTATAATTTAAAAATGACGACAAAACATAATACAACCAAAGAAAGAATAATTTTAAATGTCGGAGGAATAAAGGTAAATAGCGACATTCTAATAATAAAAGATGGAAGTTGCGTTAATAACACTCCGCACACGCACGCACACGTAAAGTCAATTCTTTAACAAATATTATTTATTAATTTATTTAATTTATTTAATTTAGTATGAAACGTATCGATCAACATTAACAAAATATCCAGAAACAATGCTTGGAACGATGTTCAAAGAGAGCAATCAATCACTATTACATCCAGTAAAATCCAACGAATATCATATCGACAGAAACGGAAGACTATTTTTCTTCATATTACAATTTTATCGAACTGGCAGAATTCCTGATCTTGAAAAAGGTAAAAAATCAAATATCAATCGAGAGGCAACGAAATATATTTATAACTCTGATATTTATTAATATTGATTTCCATTATTCTATTTGTGAAAATAGCGAAATTTTCATTACCTATAACAAAAAAAGAATTAGAAGCCGAACTAGATTATTTCATGATTCCAAGACCAAAACAATCTTCGTCGGAATCCGACAAGAAGAATAATAAGCGACCAATTAAAAAGTTATCTTTACGTAGTCGCACCATAGCGGCAGAAATAGACGATTTTATCACAGCAATGAAACTCCTCATGAATCAAATAATTTTATATTTCCTAAGATGTTTTATAATTTCGGAAGGATACGGATTTAACATAACGATCGAAATATCATTCTACTCCACGGATAAAATTCCTCACTCGATAACTATTTTACCGACAACGATAGGAAAGAAATCTCCTATAAGCAAAGTAGAACAAATACTAAACAGTTATGGGTTCGGGACAAAAGCTCACGCTTTATTAGATGAATTCGGTGATATGATTGGTGAATATTTTGAAAATTCACATCCGGGATTATATTGGGATTTGCAGAGGTTAGAACATTGTTATGATTTTGATAATGAGGAAAATAGTATTCATGATAATTTTGATAATTATAATAATTATAATAGTAGTAAGAGTAATTATAATTATAACAATAATACCGTAGATGTTAGTTCAATGTATAGAGTTAGAATTTCTATTCATGATCAATTTGATTATGAAGAAATAATTAATAACTGTTGTTTAAGATCTGTTGTAAAATAAAAATATGTAATATTATTAATATGCAATATGTTCAATTTTCACTAAAAAATATGTAAATAAGATTAAATTAATAACATAACGGTTGCATTGCTTGACCCTTGTCGTTTATTGAAAAAGAGAAATAAATAAATATTTTAAAAACGCAAAATGGAACAATAAAATTTAGTATTCTTTGTAATAATAATAATAACCATCATTACACATGATTTTTTTTTTTTAATTAACAACTTTTAATTTTTAATTCTAATTCTTTTATAATGTTTTGAATACTTGTTGACCAACTAGTCCCTATTCGCGATAGTACACTTTTAATAAATGGTTCATTTTTCTAAAATTATTTGAAAGGAAAGAAATTAAAAAATTAAATAAATATATTAACAAAAAATCTCAAATCGCAAATCATACAAGTTTACCTTGTCCAAACAAAATTCCAAAATGTTATCATTGCTATTCTCATTTTTTATCACTGTAGAAAATAATAATTTTTGAACCTTATCACCTTTCAATTCAGTTTTTAAATTGGTTAATTTCGATTGAAAACTTTGAAGTTTTTCTCGTATACGTTCCGATGTAAAATTTTGTAATGATTGAATCTATGAGAGAGAAAAGTGATGGATGAGAAGTGGCGAGAAATGAGTGGTGGTGTGGTGAGAGAAGAAAGGCCAAAAAATGATGTAAAAGTATTGAAAATACTTACAATAGATCTATTAATAAATTTTTTATTTCTGTTGCTACTTTTTACTAACATGTCATTTATTATTTTGACTATAACCATTATATTGGTGATCATCTGTCGTTTTTTAAATATTATTACGTTAAATAAGATAGTCTTATATATTATTATCTAGATATGATATGTAAATAAAAATTACCTCTAATGTCGATGAATATTTATTAATGTTCCTAGATAATGATTTTTCAATACTAACTTTTTCCTTATCTGTCAACAATTCATTGACTATAAAAAAATTAAAAATATAAATTATTATATTATTATTATCACTACCCAATAAAATAATTACGATTAGAAATGATTTTACCTTGAGATGTGAGTTCTTCTATTTTTAAAGTTACTTGTTGATTTAATTCTTTTCGTTGAAAATAAAAAAATGAATAATTATCCTAAAATAACAATGAATTAAACCAATAAATCAATAATAATAAATTAATCGTTATTACCTTTTTGGCCAGAAAGTAAATTTTTAAGACCTAAATACAAATTTGATAATTTAATAATAAGATTTGATAATTGAATTTCTTCGTTTGCTAACTAAATAAATAAATAAATAAATAAATAAATTATTATCGTTAGTAAAATTATTAATATCTAGTATTTATAAATTATATATTTGTATATAAATAAATAATTTAAATATTAGCTACTCAATATTATGACACTTATTAATATAATCAATTAAAACATACAGACTCTATTTTATGATCATTTTTTAATATATCTTCTAATTCTTTCACTAACATTGATAAATCATCTCCATTACTAATACTATTATTTTTATTATTGACATTGACATTGTTGTTGTTGTTATTATTATTATTACTACTAATAATGCCGTTATTGTTATTATTAATGTTATTGTCATCGTTACCGATACCGCTATCATCATAAATGTATTTAATAATACGAGGAATAATTGTAAAAACTTTTAAATATATTATCTAAAAAAAAAAAAAAGGGCACAATAAAGTTTTAATCCTTCATTATAATAATAAAAGTACAATAATACACATGATACATATGATATATGATAGCTACATCATTATTTGGTGATGATCTTATTAATTCTTCGATTGATTTTTGATCCGGAGGATTACAATTAATCATAACCGAAAAATCTCTGTTATCATAAAGTGATTTGCAATACGAATCTAAATAATAATAAAATAAATATATAAATTAATAAATAAATTAATAAACAAACAAACAAATATATACAAACACTTGGATAAAACAATAATTACCGTCAAATTTTAAATCCAAAATATTTAATTCACCAATTCGTTTATTCAAATCTTTAGGTCCAACAATGATATTTTCCAATCTTACTTTTTCTCTATCAACAATAGCCTTTTGTATAGAATTTTCCAGTCTTTTTTGAAATTCAATAAATTCTTGAATTTTGGAAAAAGTGGAAAATTTATATGCATGAATTATCATTTCAGGTGTCTATTGTCATAACAATTACAAGATATCAATTGTGTGTATATAAAAATTAATCTATTTATTTATTTTAACTCCAAGGAAAAAAAATACCTTTAATTCATTGTTTTTATATATAGAAAGTGTGTCAACATACAGTAGGTTTGCCTCTTCATAAAATCCAAAAGAAAGACATCTTGCCAAGATATAATGACTTTATTTGATGTATATGTAAAGGATAGGTGAATGAATGGGCGAACAGAGGTGGCACAAATTAATATTGAAGAGGAAAAAAAAACCAATATCGTAATAGCAAACATTAAATTACCTCAATGTATCAAGCTGGACATGCTTAATGTCCATCAATCTATACAATTCTAACGGTCTTTGGAATACGCCTTTTTTATTTATTTTCAATTGAAAAACAAACGTTAAATATTTTAACATAATATAATACTACAAATAATAAATAACATTATTTCTTAAGTGAATTTTATTTAGTTATTCGTACCTATATTCTGATACAATCGAATCAATAGTAATTTAAATTGGAAATTGTTTTTGCTTTTTTCCAATGCTGATTCCAGCAAAAAAATTGCTTGAAGCAAATATATAATTTTCTCTGCTGACAAAATAAACATAAATAAATAATATTATTATTGTCATTATTATTATAATCGCGCCGTCACCAACCATTATCATCATCAATTATCATTAAATAAACACTTACGATACTTAAGATACAAATCGATAAGAGCATGAGATGCCAAGATAGCAAAATCGTCACCGTGTTGCTTTTCTGTTTCTGGTAAATTAGTACCTATACATTTACAAAATAGCATGCCGAATTATTGTTATTATAAACTGTTAAATAAATCATCATCAATAATCAATTTGATAAAAAACCAGATATTCTACCAAATTTAAGTGAATCTTGATACAACTTCCATAATTTATTTATATATGTAATCAATTCTGATTCGCTTAAATCTAAAAGTAACCCAAAATACCTTTCAAATTTACAAATATTCACATTTATTTGAATATTTTTAATACTCTCCTATTATAATTATTTGATGTCCCATAATGATTATTAAATTAAATTAAATCAAAAAAAGAAAATTTTTATAATCAAGGAAAAAAATTTTACTTTTTCGTCATGACTATCAATAAGCGTTGTTTTAAATTCACTAATAATCATTGTTGCAGATACTTTTGAAATATTTTTCAAATATGGTTGTAAATCTTCAAAACAACAAGCTTTTGACCCAAACTTGCGGAAATAATTAACCAACATATCTGTCATAACTTTTGCAAGTTCACCTAAATTTTTATTTTATTTATTTAGATATAAAATATAAATAACAATTTTATACTGAAAGTCTTTAATAGTTCAAAAATTAATAATTAAAAAAGAAATAATACCGGAATTTTCTTTCTTGGAAATTAGATGTTCCAATTCCAACTCGGCTAAAAATGGGCCTCGTTTAGGTACAGACGATTCCGAATCCTTTTTTTGCAAGGAATAAATGAACTCGCGTGCATCACTCAAAGTTAGACTGTCAGTACTAATGATAAATAAAAATGATAATTATGTAATAAGACTTTAATGTGAAAGGAGTAATCTTTTAATAACAAAATAAATTACCATTTATCGTTATTCTTTTGTTCTTCAATAAGTTTTAAATGAGAATCCAAAAATGTTTTATAAGCAGTCCAATCATCAATACTAGAAATAAATTATTTTATTTCCAATAAAAAAATTTTTAATAAATTAATACACGCATATACTCATATATATGTGTGTGTGTGTGTATTTATGAATATATATATTTTTAAGTAAATAATTTCTATATATGTAAGTCACTACCAACTTCGTTTTACTTAATATTTCCTTACTCATCTCATTGGATTTCATCCAATTTTCAGTTTTAATAAATAATTCATTTTTTATTCTAATAATTTCAATATCATCTTTACATCTTTGACCAAGATCACCTTCTAAAACATCAAGAACCTCTTTAAACTTATTTTGTGCCAATAATATAATCAAATATAAATGCACCTCTACAAATTAATAATATATAAATATTTGGTAAATTTTGAATAATAAATAATTATAATTATGTACCTTCAGTGTTTTGCACTTTTCCTTCATTTACTGCTTTCAACATCATTCTTTCAGCCAAAGGCATGAAAATGTTTATTTGATTAGGCTGTATATTTTCTGACTAGCATACATTGATAAAAAGAATCAAGTGTGAATAAACATCACCAGTCAACTAATTATAATTAATTAAAATATTCACCTGTAATACCAAGCTCATAATTGCCCAAAATAAATATTTATTTGAATTGAATGTTTTATGTAATTTTAATGCTGCCTAAATTAATATATATACATGTAGTATGTAATACATCAATTAAACTTTAAAATTAAATGTACCACATTCAATCTGAATGAATGAACATCACTTACATGTTGCTGTCCTTTATAATTGCTACTACGAACCATGGCCATAAACCAATGATTTCCCAATTCTTCATTATTAGGATTTTTTTGTGTAGCATTTTCATAAATTTTTATAATTTCTTCATCTATAAAAATAAAATTTTTTTTCAAATCAATAAATATATCGGCAAATCGATATTTTTATATTTTTATTATTTTTTTTGATGATAATTTAAAACTACCAACTTTTTCCCATAGAAAGATAAACCAAGGTAAGTGCTTGCAATACTGCTTCATCAATTGGATTCTTTTCTTTAACTTGTTCACACAATTTTAAGGCTTCATCTTGTTTACCAGTTCTTTCTAACACTAAACCTTTCAAAGTCTATATGTCTTTAAATGTCAATGATATTATACTTTTCTCTTTTTTAAAAAAGAAATAAACGAAACTTATGAAATGGAGTTTTTATGATACCTTTACTATTAAAGCTTCTGGTTGTTTTTTAAGTATTTTGTTACATTGTTGTAATGCAAACTTGTAGTTAAAATTATCAATTGCCTCTGAAAATTTTAATTAATTTATTAATTATAAATAAATATAAACTTTAGCGAGAAATGTACGTATATAATTAATTAAAGAAATTCTTATTATTAATGATACGAAATATTATAATACCATAAATAGGACGTAACCTTCGTTCGTCAACATCCAAAATTGAAGACATTTATTTATTTTTTTTTTTTTTTGAATTCAATAAAATCAAAAAAAAAAAAGATTTTCAAAATTAGATAAAAATTTTGGCCAATGAAATAAATCTATTTAAAAAATAAAAAATAAAAAAAACTGATGTAAAAAAGAGATTTATTTATTTTTCACATTTAGAGCTAAAGGATTGCCTTTAAAACTTTTCTAAAAAATGATAACAATTAATCAGCAATATGTAACACCAGTCCAAAAAGACAAAACAGAACAGAATATATTGAGTCAAAAGATAGGTAGAAGGTACTCTATATAGTTTAAATTCACGGAAAGGCCACTATAGCCTAAAGCAAGAAAAACAAAATTTAAATGTTTCAATACCAAAGCAGTCCATCCACCCATCATGTCATGATAGAAAATGCATCAAGTACTTGTCATTAATTTGTGTTTATATTGACAAGAATCTTTCGCTAGAAGTTATTGAAACTATTATAAAGAGAAATTCAAGAGGATAATCATAACGGCAATAATAAAGTAAGTTTTTACGATATGTCTAATATATTAAAGCTCTCCCTCATTTTGCCAATCAACACTAGTCAAAATCAATCAACCAATTATGGAATCAAGTATAAAATATAAATGGTAAAGTTCAAAGATCAATCTTTCCCATTACTTATATGCTAGAAGCATTCGTTATCTTAAAAATGATTTTTCTCATGATTGCTATGCCATGAAGTTTTTTTTTTTACATATATTTTGGACCAAAAACCGTATTCGTAACAACGTTAAATAGTTAACTAGGGAAATACAATAAATAAGAAAATGGCAATGGTGATATGATTATTTTAGCTAGGTCACTGGGCGGCAGGTCACAATTCAGATTCATCGTTAGACAATTTTGTTTTTATTAATCAGGCACAAAAATATATAATCAATTGAAATAAACTATATTAATATTTTATTATGTATTTGAAATTCCTAATAAGTTATTTGTGGTCATTAATAATCAATCCTAAAGCAAATGATGCTAATCTTGCATCTATTCCATATCCTTTTTTATCATATTCTAAATTTTTTTTTTAAAAAAAAAAGATCAGAATTTAGAGATAAAAAAATTTTTTAATGAATTCTAAACCAACCTTGTAAAGTTGAATAAAGATCTTTTAAATCAACTAGCAATATATTAATAAATTCGTCCTCTTCAAGTTTTGGAATTGGATTTTTATTAATTTCATCATCTAAATCAACCTTTAAAAAAACCAGGAATTAATATAATTGAACTTTGATTTTAATTTTTAAATGATTACAAGTTACATATTACCTCAATGAAAACCAATTTCATATTAGCATTAGTTATTCCTGCATCATTAAACATACTGGTTGAAACATTAGTTATCGCTTTGCCCGTGTATCCTGTTTCTTCATATAATTCACGCAAGGCTGCTTGTTCTGGCGCTTCATCTTTCTCAACTAATCCTGAACAGAAGAGGTGAACGAGCAAGCGGTCAGCGGGTAAATAACTAATTAGCTAATTCTAATTGATTAAAAGAAAGTAAAGTACCAGCAGGAAATTCTACGCATTTTTTCCCAGTGCTAGGACGAAATTGTATACAAAGTATTGTTTTTGTTGTGTTTGAATCCTTTGATTTTAATAGTGGAACTATGCCTACAGCTGTTATATATATATATATATATATAAGAATATATTAATGAATATAATTAAAATCCAAAAAGTTATTATTAATATAATTTTTACCATCTATTTCGTTGGTGGTTCTTGTTTTTCTTTCTACGCTTTCCCAGAACTATCAATTAAAACTGTTCTCAATTATTATTTATTATTCCTGACCAAAAATATATGTAATAATATATATATGTATGTATATATATATATGTAGCTATCAATTTACCCTTTTTTTTCCATTCTGGTCTAAATATGTTATCTTATATAAGCCAACCCATTTAGAATTATCATTTGTCAAAGATTCTTTAGATAATATTTCCGGTTCATGGGTTAGTTTTTCATCTTCTATTAATTTTTCAACCTTTGTTGAAAGTTTATTATTATCTTTATGATTATTATCACTTGTTTTTTCAGTAGTTTGTAAAGAAAACATTTTAAAAGATTATTAATTCGCAATTCGCGATAAACGGAAAGGATCGACATACATTTTATATATTAATATAGTAAAATGCGGGGATGATAATAAAACATAAAATTAATTTTGAAAATTTTAAAATGACCAACTGTCCCACTTTAGTGAAATAAAACCACATTCACATTATGGGCTAAATGCAAGAGAATGGAGAGTAAAAGTGAGATACAACTAAATTGATTTATTACCTATTGAAGTCTGCATAGTAATTTAGTAAATTATCATGTTTACCAGCATGGTAGACATTCTTATAATTGGTAATGATTTTCGTCGATCAGATTACACAAAAAAGAAAATTTGATTGGCCGA